GACTCACAGACCTTCTTTTGTTCAGACTGGCGACAATATAATAAAAAAAGATGTTTAAGTATTATTTCCATCTAAACAGGCCGCATAACATCACAGCAGTATTATTTTGGGACCTTAGATTGTAAGCTCCTCCAGGGTGGGGACTGATGTGAATCTACAGTAAGTAAAGCACTGCGTAAATTCACAGCACTATATAAATATCTGTAATAATTTAACAGATAAATAAAAAATAAAATAAAAATCTAACAGTCATACCCATATGGAAGATTTCAGCTGTTCAGAGCTGTGAGGGGCTACTCATTGCTGAGCACATCTAAATCAAAAATGAAAAAAATATTCTGCTGCTGTGAACCAATAGGAGTTTTTCTTCCTATACTTCTTATGTCACTCATGATGATGTAATAATAGGGCATAGATACAGCTTGGTTCCTACAGACTCCCAATGATGGGGTAGCCACAGATGAAAAACTCTTCTGGGTGTTAGGTTTACAAGGCAAGCAACCTTGTGTGTCAGCATCCTTCATCTGTTACTTTTGCTAGTAGATTGTATTTATTGATGAAAACAGACCTATCATTACAAATTATAGGAAACCTTTCCTAGGTGGGAGTTATTTTTCAAAGTTCAATAGTTATTAGTACTTATCTGAGAAGTAAAAATTGATCATAGCTCAAGGTACCCCTAGCAACCTCTACAGCAGCCTAAACTTTTTTACCCCAGAGGAACCTCAAAATAAATTTCAGGTCCCAGGGAACCCTTAGTAAAACCAATTCATCAGGGGTCAATGGAAAAACACCTCTTACACTGGTGGTCAGTAGACCGAAGAATGCAACCTTTACAGTGGCGGTCAGAATGACAACCTTATAGACAGCTAAAAAAGAAAACTGGTGTCACGCTGCTGACTTTTCCAAGTAGCATTGATCCTGGAACTAGGTGGAAACCATCAGATGGGAGGTCAATCAGTCACAGCTCAAGGAAGCCTCAGCAACCTCTGGAAGAACCCTGGTTGACAATGACTGCTCTAGAGGAACCCTGGTTAAGAAGGGCTGCTCTAGAGGAATGATGGATGAGAAAGACTGCTCTAGAGGAACCCTGGGTGAGAAAGGCTGCTCTAGAGGAACCCTATTTAAGAAAGGCTGCTCTAGAGGAACCTTGATTGAGAAAGGCTGCTCTAGAGGAACCTTGATTGAGAAAAGCTGTTCTAGAGGAACCCTGGTTAAGGAGGGCTGTTCTAGAGGAACCCTGGTTAAGAAGGGATGTTCTAAAAGAACCCTGGTTGAGAAAGGCTGCTCTACAGGAAGCCTGCTTGCGAAAGGCTGCTCTAGAGGAACCCTGCTTGAGAAAGGTTGCTCTAGAGGAACCCTGCTTGAGAAAAGCTGCTCTAGGTGAACCCTGGTTAAGAAAGGCAGCTCTAGAGGAACCATGCTTGAGAAAGGCTGCTTTAGAGGAGCCCTAGTTAAGAAAGGCTGCTTTATAAGATAAATATATGTGAAGGTAACTTTAGATGCCTGCATAACATGGCTGCCTTCTGGAGGCCCCAGCAACCTCTGGAGGAACCCTGGTTAAGAAAGGCTGCTCTAGAGGAACCTTGGTTGAGAATGGTTGCTTTAAAGGAACTCTGGTTGGGAAAGGCTGCTCTAGAGGAACCTTGGTTGAGAATGGTTGCTTTAAAGGAACTCTGGTTGGGAAAGGCTGCTCTAGAGGAACCCCAGGGCTGCTCTATAAGTTAATTAAATATATGTGCAGGTAAGTTTAGATGCCTGCATTGCATGGCTACCTTCAGTTTTGGACATCTAAAGTGAAAACTGATATGCTAACACCCAACAGAGTTTGAGCCATCAAAGCCATAAAATAGGCAGTCAGCCCGTGTAGTGGATTTGGTGGTGCTTTTTAAATAGTTAAAATAAAACTACTTAACTTCGGGAATCATATGATTCACTTCTAAAGTTCAGTGCACATTTCAAGAAGTGCAGGGGTTGCCATATATCAGAAAGCACAAAGAATCTGGAGATAACTTACATCAAGGGGGATAAAAAAAGTTCAGACTTTTACACATGTTGGATGTATCTAGGGATCCCACAGAATATGTGTTTTTATATTGAATATTGAAATATTGTATGCTGCCATTTAGACACAAATAATGTTAAAGAATGTCTCTTCATCAGAGAACAAATAATTTTCCAAGCCATCTGATTCCCAATATCTACACACAGCCAGACTGTTCCAGAATTCTGTCAAAATCTTCAGATTGATTACAAATTTATGGTAGTGTATAGGAGTTTTACACAACCCTAAATGTAACCAACCCTTGCACCCAAACCATAATGTATAGGTCCACTCAAAATCTGTAGCTTGGTTCTGGATGGAAAGTGCCAGATATTATCACTTGTAAGCTGGGTGGAGAATATGCCATGCTCCAAAATCTTAAACCCACCCTCTTTAGTGATCTTATGCCGAGTATTAACATACCCCCTGCTGGATTTTCCATAGGAGTACTTGAAGAAATCAAGCTGAGCAGCAGGACTGCATAGCTTAGCATGCATTTTCCTACTGAGGACAAACTGGGGGGCAGAGTTGGGATTTCAGAATATTTTGCTTTTGTACATTTTTCATCAAACCTGGCTCCCCCTACCCAAAACTGAATTCTATGTTTTGGGTGGACCTTAAAAGATCATTCCAAAAAAAAGTGCTATTTTGATGTTTGGAGGGTTGCTCATGGGCTGCAGCACCAACTGGCTTTTTATTTCTATATATATATATAAATATATATATATATATATATATATATATATATATATATATATAAAATCTCCCCAACACCCTTTCTGGCTCTGCCTCTCCCCTTTACATGAATAAACCCGTTCTCCTTAAATATAACACAAATAAAGAAATGTATTGGCCACAGCAGTAGGAAAAGCTGGAAACGCATGTATAGAATGTTTGCTGCAGACATTCCATAAAGAATCAGAAGCTAGTGATGCAACCCATAGCCAACCATTACAGACGGCTGAGATAAAAATTATCCTTTTAAATATGAGTTTATATGTCATTACAGACACCGATTGATCAATGTGGACAAAGAAAGGAAGACCCAAGTTTCAGCCTTGCTTATGATCACAAGATCCTACCACGCACTTTACAGATCATCCACATTTCACGGCATGAGATGGGGCTTCAAAAAACGATATTTCTCCAGCATTTCTGGATAATCATCCAGCTCTCTGAATATTTATACATTTATTCAATTTCAAGCTGTGGAGCAGAGGTGCACAGGCTAACGGTTTTGAGGCTGTCCAAATTATTTTTTGGGTCTCCAGATTGTCAGATATGTTATTCATCCTACGATATTTTACATTTTTTTCTCTAAACAGCATGCATGTTATTGACTGCACGTTGACTAAGTGAAGTCCAAGTGAATACGCACCCATCTCTTTCCATGCTTGCAATGGATTTAGATTTGTGCTCCTGGCTGATTTTTTTAAAAGACTAGCTACCATGAGAAAAAATATGGATGGCTTTCTTGTTAACCTTTTGCTGAAAATGCTAGCTGCCTGGTTATTATCCATCCACCCAGGGGTGGACTGACAACTCATGGGGCCCCCGGGCAATAGGGGATCATGGGGCCCCTGTGTCCTTGCCCAAACTCAAAAAAGCCTATGAAAAAGGTACCAGGGGCATCTCATGGGGCCCCCTACTGACCCCGGGCCCTAGGGCAGTGCCCGAGTTTCCAAATGGTCAGTCCGCCCCTGCTCACACCATCCCCCCAGCTGCTTACATACCTTTGTTCCAGGGTTGTGGCCTCCTCTGGTGTCTACAGTGTGTCCTGGTGAAGCTCTCTTTAGCATTACCTATGTCTGCATGTTCCCATTGACTTAAATAGGAGCCATATTTTGAGATTCCGTTTAACTGCTAAAAGTAATTTAGTGGCCAAGGTTTTAACCTGAGCAGAACGCAGCTGGGTAAGTAAAGTTAGTAAGCAGTTTTTGGGGAGGGAGGTAAATGCAGGTTAACTTAGGAGCACTTAGGGATAGTTTAGTAAAAGGCACACCTGTACTATAATGTTCATTCCATAACCCAAGAGCCAATATTTTAATGTATCTTAAGTCCAAATTTTTTTTACATCTTTGCTAGAGCATGGGTAAAACCCGTCACTTTTTGCTGTTTATGTCCCAAAAGCAAATCTTTCCAAAGAGGGGGGGCTTTAAGCTGGCCATATGGTAAAAGGAAACAGGTTTCTCCATCTACACTTTACAGTGCAGATGGCAGACACCCCTGCTGCGGCTATTGTATCTGCTCAGTTCCTTCAAATTTTAGGTAGAGGAACCAGGCAAAACTCGCATAGTTTATGGCCAGCTTTAGACAGTTATCAGCATAACAGATGTCTCCATTGGAAGATATCTCCAGTTCCAGTGACAATAGTGATCCTTTGAATTTCCCATTAGGAAAATTTCCCATTTTCCCAATGGTAAATCACTATACAGTCAACAGTAAAAATAAATGAGGCACGAACCCTACCTTATTCTGTCCACGACTAATAAAATACGTGTTGGCTCGGATACACTTTAATTAGCCTGGACGTTTCTCTTCCTTTATTCCAACCACATACTTGCACTTGAGATCTCAACATTCAAAGGACTGGGCACCTCTGCTCAAGACAGCAGATGGACTAATTGTTTAACTGAAACCCCAAGAAGTTGGTTGATCAAAAATTACAGACAACAGTCTACCATTTTAGTTCCAATCCACTGTAAAGGCAAAAGAAAGACAACATCTTACAACAAAATTTTGCCACTTCAGACAGGTTGTCACCACTGTCATTGTTGGAAGCTTACAGAGATTGTGTGTTGTGTAGAATGAGTGTGCCATTGTTCCCCATCAATGTATTACTGATTGGCAGGTTCTTAAAAGTCACCATTAATGGTTAGAAGAAGCGAGACATTTCCATCAAACAGAGATGGCCAAAGACACTGGGTTGCGATGCATGGCTGTCACTTATGGATTATTAGAGTGTTTCCTGTAGCACAAGGTCCTCAAACATAAGGTAGCACTTCAGTGATTGTGGCAAGTTGAAAGTCCTCACGGCTTTAAGCCTCTGGGGCCCCAAGCTGGAGCGAATCTGCAGGCGGCTCAGATGTTTAAGAGAGCGTGGCTGATGGGAGCAGGACTCAATCCAGGCAATGAAGCCTACTTGGGAGGCAAGGCGCTTGGGCGGCAGACCAGTTTTCTGGAATACAGAAGATAATGGTTATTTAGAGCAGTAATTCTCCACTACTGGTCCCTGGACTGTCTCCAGGTCTTTTGCCAGGCAACCAGCTGGGTAAACATCAAATTTATATACAGTAAAACTAGAGATTCTATACATATGTATTAACAAAAGCAGCGCAGGTTTTCTGGGTTACAATACAGAGACAGATCAACCCAAAGACAAACTTACCCCTCCTTAGTGAGGCTTGTGTTCTTTAGTTCTGTTTACCCTGGCCGGGAGAGGATGCATAATTACTGTACTTTGGTTCGTTTTTCCTCATCCTCTCTCCTCCTTTTTTCTGGTCTTACTTTCCTTCAGCTATCCCCCCTCTCCCTTTTTTCTATTTTTCACCCAATCCTCCTTGCCTTTTCAGGGTTTTGCTGCGGGCCCCACCCCCAGTTCCCTTTTTACAAGTTGATTATGTGCAGGGGCGGACTGACCATTTGGAAACTCGGGCACTGCCCCAGGGCCCGGGGTCAGTGGGGGGCCCCATGAGATGCCCCTGGTACCTTTTTCATAGGCTTTTTTGAGTTTGGGCAAGGACACAGGGGCCCCATGATCCCCTATTGCCCGGGGGCCCCATGAGTTGTCAGTCCGCCCCTGATTATGTGATGGGGGTCGGCGATATCATCCAAATTGTTTCCTAACCTTATAGCTGACTGGTAAGCACCAGCCTGTTTTAGCATTGCCTTAACGTCCCTCACCTACAGGTACCTTTTAGGATAACTGCTATACGACTTGACCATGATGGTTTCTTTGTTCTGTTGTATCTGACTGTAATTCCTTTTCACCACACAAGTTGGCTCCTAATGGTCTGGTCCATCTTAATTCATTTTGTATACGATTTGGCACATTTTCTGTACTGTCATCCAGTACACTTGCTAAGATGGTCTACGTTTGCCTTTTTGTACATGATGTATTGGACAAATAAAGGAATTACAAAAAAGATAGACCCAAAGCAGAACTAAAGTCTTAATGAAAAAGACCCGCGAGCAAGCAGGCTCTTTATTGCAGAAAAGAAATGCAATGTATATTCTGCAATTAAATAAACGTACCTGCCTGTTCGCAGTTATCTGTAGAATGTACGCTGATCTGTGCATACGCAGCTCAATTTACATTCCAGCACAGTGCCTGTGTGCTGATATGACTGTAACCCTGGACATGTGCAGGAGTGATATCTTCGGCCTTCAGCCAGTCACAGTGGTTGAAGATTGGCACCCAGAAGAAGCCAAGGAGAAGATGCTGGCACTGGCAAGGGAGCTTGGACCATTGAAACGGAGGTAGGTATTGCAGACTTTAGTTCCACGTCAAACATGGAGTGAATTTCAGGTATCTCCTGATGAACTCTCCTGCTCAACATCTCAAAATCTTTAAAGACAGGTGCAAAACTGTTGAGGTATTCTGACAGCAATAGGTGTCTGTTCTCAGATTGCAATGGCCAACAGGGGAGGTGTCTGCTCTCAGATTGCAATGGCCAACAGGGGAGAGTCCTCTATCCACGCTATTTAGCTTGGTTGGTGAATTTATATATTTCTCTTGTTCAACCCCATTCAATGTATGGTCAGCTTTCCAGTGTTACCAAAAGATATTCCTCCCTAACTATGGCAGCCTTGTAATTTGTGTGTAATGGCAGTCCTTTGAGTGTATGTTTTTTCATGTCCACATTGAAGACTTATTGGTCCATGTTGTTGGCTAAGTCTGAAGAACTGTTACTTTTATTCCCACCTGTCTGTGCCACCTTGTAACCTCAATGAGCAGAAAGTATATACATTTATATTTACCAATTGTTTGAGACCAATTTAGAACTATGTGATTTGTTACCACATTCTGAGATATAGTATAGAAGTTTAAACAGAACTAAAGAGGACATCTGCCCATTTTGATATGGATGAAAAGCAAGGCATTCCATTTAACTCACTGCTCCACCTAACTTAATTGAACATGAGTTTTACAGACTGTGAATATGGTATCTTCTGACTTGTAAACAGGCTTGACCAGAGCAAGCAGAAAGTGATGGAGAATGCAGGCGTCAGTTCATCTAAAAGTAGTTTATAGCTTTAGGTGGAGCCTGGTGGGCTAAGTCAACCCCTGGCTTTTTGTATCTTAGATGCTTCAAAAGGGAGATCTTCTGCCATAATTCTGTTCCTGTCCAACCAGGAGTTCTGGGTGTCCCAGCTCCTCCTGTTACTTCCTTTGTTATATAAAATACATACAAAAGCCAGGAGGGAGAGTGGAAGAACTATATATATTGGGCAAAGTAGGTGTGCAGATCCAGGAACTCAATGCAGAGGTCTCACCAACAGTCTCTGAGACATGGAAGAAATTGTCAGGTTCCAGTGTCCAGTGTCCACCAAAAACTAAAACATCATCTATGAGTGGCCTGCCCCCTGGAATTACATATGAATGCCTTTCCATGTACATACCTTATTCTTGTATGTTATGTCAGCACCTGCTTGAACGAGGAGCCGGATGCACTCTAACTGTCCGCTACACGCAGCCAGATACATTGGGGTCACCCCCCAGTTATCCTGCAGGTTGACATCAGCACCGTGCTGTACCAAATAGAAACAGATTTGTAAAAAGCAGATAAACATCCCTTGTAATCCTTCCAAAGCTTGAAAGTGATCTATAAACAACCCCAATACCTGTCCCAACAATGAGAAATACTGATCTTAGAAAAAAAGATACGATGCCACAGGAAACAAGCCTGAATTTTTTTTTAAAGCTCACCTCCATCTTAGTACTCAGCATAATGCTGTGAAAGAGATCAGGGGATATAGACACATTTCTTGCTTCCTTCATCGTTAAAGTTTTTAGGTGTGCTTTTAATGTGTTGTATGTGCCTCCACATTGTCCATCTGTACTCAACAGTTATCCAACAGCTTGTCTTAAACCCAGGGGCGGACTGACAACTCATGGGACCTCCGGGCAACAGGGGATCATGGGACCCCTGTGTCCTTGCCCAAACTCAAAAAAGCCTATGAAAAAGGTACCAGGGGCATCTCATGGGCCCCCTACTGACCCCAGGCCCTCGGGCAGTGCCCGAGTTTCCAAATGGTCAGTCCGCCCCTGCTTAAACCTTTTTTCTCTTTATATTCCTGTACTACTGGGCGTTAACTTATTATCACTTGGAAATGTCTTGAAGTACCTTTTTCTTTTGGTGGGAATGCCCTTCCTGGTCTCCCTCTACAGTGCTTTTTGTGTCAGGACCTGAATCACCTGCTGGTGGCACTGTAGTTTCCAGAGCAGAAGGTTGTAGTTCTGGTGTCCTTCAGTGGGTGTCTCCCAGTAGATCCCAGTAATTAGTCTCTACCTGATGCTGGCTGTTGGAAGGGTATTTAGTCCCTCCTCTATCAGTGCCTCTTGCATCAGTGTTTTGCATTGCTAGCCAGATACTGCTTGCCATTTATCCTGCCCCTGTCTCTGCTCCTGATCTGCCTTGTACCTACCTATACCCTGTACCCTATACCTGCACCCCCTTGTTCCTGATCCCAGTCTTGGTTCCTTCTTCCTGACTGTTCATACAGCTCCAATTTTACCCTGTTGATCTATATTCCCCATTCTGTATATAGTTTATTTCCTAGTTAGGCTTTCTGTTACTTAGGTTACTAGTTAGGCATTTTCTAATTTGGCTTTGGTTCACTTATATCTTCATGTTTGTTGTATACTCTGTTTCCTGGTGTTTGGGTGGATTTTGGTTCACTGAAAATAAATCTTACCTTAAATATATATGGTCTGGTGTAGCTACACAGATCAGGCCTTTCCTGCAGCTGATCCCTGACATTGTCTTAGTATAGTAATGGCCACCGCCCTCATCACATTTTTCTTGCATGGACTTGTTGACTATAGGGAGAGAGGGGGCATGCCTGACCATGCCTGCTGGATTGAAGAGTGCAATAAACCATGAGGTCAAGGTCTGGTGCCTACTGGACTGCCCAGACATACTTAGACACCCTAAATAACTACTAAAACAAAAATGTGAAGGTAAGCTATAAAAAGGGCGACTGAATATCTACAGTATTTCCGTAATTTGAAGTAATTTTGTAAGAGCATCACCATAAGTGACTTAAAATTATAATAACATAAAGGTGCCTTGGTGGGATTTGGCACGGCTGGGGCCTAACATCAACTTTCCAAAATAGGCTAAAACCTTGCCTGTAGAGTTTATCAATTGTCCAGGTTATAGTATAGCTCGTCTTATGAAGTCACATTTAACCAAACTTGTTCTTCCAAACACTGAAACCTCGTTTGGAAGAAAGAAAACATCTCCCTTTCTTGCCCTCCCACTTCATAATAAATTGCTGCTCAATAACAAGGCCACATAAACATTCAAAATAATGAAACACAATAAAATAATAAAGTAATACAATAATGATAAAATACAATTCAAAGAAAATACATTCAAGAAAAAGCTTGATGGGCATGAAAGGGGCCAAGGGTAAAGACGGCCCATTCCCTATCACAGAATCAGATTAAAGCCTATTGATTCAGGGACTATTGACAATACCAGCATCAGTGCTACTTACCTTCCACAATACAGCACAAGTGCATTTATGGTGTGTAGGTGCACACACTTCCAAGTTTTGCCTGTGTTATTGCAGCCAATTAGCACACCTTCCATCCTCTGACAGCTCTGTCAACGCCACATCCAGACAGAGCGACTTCTTCCTCTGCCCGGCTTATTTTAACTCAGTGTGCAGCATCCGGCAACGCTTTTGCAAGGTAGCTGCTGTGCCCCTGGTGAGCTTTTCTACTATCCAGCCTTCCTCTATTCATTTGATTCCTCTGGCTTGTATCCTGACTGTCTGTGACCACTGCCTGCCCTAACCTCTGGCTTGTATCCTGACTGTCTGTGACCACTGCCTGCCCTAACCTCTGGCTTGTATCCTGACTGTCTGTGACCACTGCCTGCCCTAACCTCTGGCTTGTATCCTGACTGTCTGTGACCACTGCCTGCCCTAACCTCTGGCTTGTATCCTGTCTGTAACCACTGCCTGCCCTAACCTCTGGCTTGTATCCTGACTGTCTGTGACCACTGCCTGCCCTAACCTCTGGCTTGTATCCTGACTGTCTGTGACCACTGCCTGACCTAACCTCTGGCTTGTATCCTGACTGTCTGTAACCACTGCCTGCCCTAACCACTGGCTTGTATCCTGACTGTCTGTGACCACTGCCTGCCCTAACCCCTGGCTTGTATCCCGACTGTCTGTGACCACTGCCTGCCCTAACCTCTGGCTTGTATCCTGACTGTCTGTGACCACTGCCTTCCCTAACCTCTGCCTTGTATCCTGTCTGTGTCCACTGCCTGACCTAACCTCTGACTTGTATCCTGACTGTCTGTAACCACTGCCTGCCCTAACCTCTGGCTTGTATCCGGGCTGTCTGTGACCACTGCCTGCCCTAACCTCTGACTTGTATCCTGACTGTCTGTAACCACTGCCTGCCCTAACCTCTGGCTTGTATCCTGACTGTCTGTGACCACTGCCTGCCCTAACCTCTGGCTTGTATCCTGACTGTCTGTGACCACTGCCTGCCCTAACCTCTGACTTGTATCCTGACTGTCTGTAACCACTGCCTGCCCTAACCTCTGGCTTGAATCCTGACTGTCTGTAACCACTGCCTGCCCTAACCTCTGGCTTGTATCCTGACTGTGACCACTGCCTGCCCTAACCTCTGGCTTGTATCCTGACTGTCTGTGACCACTGCCTGCCCTAACCTCTGGTTTGTATCCTGTCTGTGACCACTGCCTGCCCTAACCTCTGGCTTGTATCCTGACTGTCTGTGACCACTGCCTGCCCTAACCTCTGGCTTGTATCCTGACTGTGACCACTGCCTGCCCTAACCTCTGGCTTGTATCCTGACTGTCTGTGACCACTGCCTGCCCTAACCTCTGGCTTGTATCCTGACTGTCTGTGACCACTGCCTGCCCTAACCTCTGGTTTGTATCCTGTCTGTGACCACTGCCTGCCCTAACCTCTGGCTTGTATCCTGACTGTCTGTGACCACTGCCTGCCCTAACCTCTGGCTTGTATCCTGTCTGTGACCACTGCCTGCCCTAACCTCTGGCTTGGCTTGTATCCTGGTGCTCCACTTCATTCTGCTGCAACGTGGAGTCCACTCACCTGCTCCTGAACTACTCTCTGGTGTCTTCCTGAATTTGTGTCCTCTGTAGTCTGTGGTGTTTAGAGCAGGGGGAATCTAGGAGTCTCGACCTGTGGTCAGCACGCAGCCTAAGGCCCCGTTCACATAATGCGGCCCCGCTATGCGATTTTCAAACAGAGACTCTCACATAATTTTGCATGTCACATAGGGCCAGTCCATTCACTTGAACAGGCTGTCCTATGTGAGCTTATCGTGCAGAAAGAAGCTCCTGCTCCTATTCTGGCTATAAACTTTACATGGTATTTAAAGGCGCGGTTTGCTGTGATTGCTGCATGATCCTGTCTCATGACAATCGCGTGAGAATCACATCACATATGGGGTGCCATTAAAGGATATTAACACCCAAACAAGTGTTGTGCAGCAACTGCCATGCTATTTGGAATCGCAGGCAGAATTGCAGCAAATTTGCCCGCAATTCCAAATTGCAAAGTATGAATGGAGTCTTAACAACCTGTGAGGGGGTCCTTGGTGAATAATGTCTAGCCCTTGGACTCCACAGCCTGCGGATCCTGCGTCACTTACTCTCATGTGGGATCATCCTCAACCTTTGACAGGCCCTGATCCAACTCTGAGGTCTAATCTGTTCCAGTGTAATCCTAATCCAACTTCCATGTCTCATCTCTTCCAGTGTATACTTGATCCAGCTCCCAGAATGTATCTTTTGGAGAATGATCCTGATCCAACTCCCAAGTTATATCTGTTAAAGTGTAATCCTGAGCCAGCTCTCAGGTCTTAACTGTTAGACAGGGGTGAATTTACCACAAGGCAAACAAGGCATTTGCCTAGGGTGGCATTTTTCAGGGGGGCAGAACCACCCCCCAAAAGAAGGAATGGAAGAAAGGACATACATAGCATGGGGACCAGGTGGGATCTGAGAGAGGCTGCGGGCTGCTTGATGGTGTATGCGGAGCCTGACTCTTGTTCCCGGGGATATTCGGAGCTGTGAAGGTGAGTGTCTTCTCTCTTGCCGGGGTGGAGGGGGCTGCCAGTGTATGGGGGGCAGTGGTAGTGGAAGGCTCTCTCGGGTGGGGGTTGGGGGGGCTGGGGTGTTGTTGGTCAATGTCAAGCTCTCTTCATGGGGGAGGGGGGTGTTGGTCAGTGTCAGAGTCTCTCCATGGGGGGGGGGGGGGGGGGCAATTTTTGTGTTGCCTACGGCATCCAGCTCCCAAGTTATATCTATTCCAGTGTAATCCTCAACTGGCTCTTATGTGTTAGAGAATGATACTGATCCAGCTCCCAGGTCTTACCTGTTCTGGTGTGATCCAACGTGGTACCTATTGCACATATCCAGTTCCCAGGTCTAATCTTGACCCAGCTTCCAGGTCGTATCTGTTACAGAATGATCCTGAGCCAGCTCCCAAGTTATATCTGTTCCAGTGTAATCCTCAACCAGCTCTTATGTGTTAGAGAATGATCCTGATCCAGCTCCCAGGTCTTACTTGTTCCAGTGTGATCCAGCATGACACCTATTCCTTGGATCTAGTTCCATGGTCTAATTTGTTCAGGGGAGCTTCGCTCCACCGAAAGTCCACTGTTGACCTACACATCTCAGCTACACCCAGGGGCAGACTGACCATTTGGAAACTCGGGCAGTGCCGAGGGCCAGGGGTCAGTAGGGGGCCCCATAAGATGCTCCTGGTACATTTTTCATAGGCTTTTTTGAGTCTGGGCAAGGACACAGGGGCCCCATGATCCCCTATTGCCCGGGAGCCCCATGAGTTGTCAGTCCACCCCTGGCTACACCTACCTTCTTTTTGTACCCCATGCCATGTAGCTCGAAGGTCCACAATGGCACAGTCACTGCCTTGACAACCAGTGGTTCCAAATGCTCCACCAAAGCAGCGCATGCCTCCAATGTGTGGGTGACAGGAACAGATTACACATACAGTCCTAAGAAGATATAGTACACTGATCAGAGTTTAACTCACCTGTATAAGTAAGAGAGCACAATCCGGGAACAATCCAATAGCTGCATGTAGGGGGGTCCCACCATGTTTACAGCAGCTATTCACATTGGCCCCATGCTGCAAGAGCAGCTCCATGGATGCCCTCTGACCTTTATACGCTGCCCAGTACAGAGGTGTCTTTCCGTAGTAATCTTTCCGATCCACAAGCTCTTTGTCTGAAACACAATGTAGAAAATACAGAGTAGAGGAGGGGGGCACAAAACTAAGAAAAGAGAAATGTAGAACAAAAAATGCTTAATTTCCCTAGTTATCTAGGGCCAGATTTTTTTGTAGGTAACATACACCTTGGCCTAGGGAGTCTGGGGTGCCTAGGGCAGCACACGGCCCTCACACATCAGTTTTCATAATAAGTAACATATTCCTGTTTATAATAAAAGATTCCAGACTACATGGCTAGCAATTGATCCTGATATGAAGGGAGTCCCGCTTAGAACCTTCATTCCTCATTCCTTCTCTAACGTCCCTATCTATAAATACATGTAAAAGCAAAATTGTTTCTATTGCACTTGACTTTCTTCCATCCTTCAGATTATCATGTTGGTGATTTTTTTGATTCTAATCTAAATGAAAAGTAAAGGGTAAAAAAAAAAAGTGCATTTATTTAATTTGCCATGGTCCGTGGGGGTATTGCAGGGTTGTGTCCATTGGATACTTGTTAAGTTTACATGTTAAAGTAAGCTATAGACTCCATTTAACATGTATTCTTATGTCTCCTGAACTCCTACTTTTAAAATCCTGCCGCTTACATAGATCAATAGCTCTAGCTGAAATATTCACATTGAACCCAAGGACTCATCCCTTTCCCTGCTGCTGTGTAAAGCCAGCTCCAGTTTCAATTACAGTGAGAAACCCTGAGGGCAATCAGAAAAATGTAGGAAGCATCTACTGTGCTATCCCTTCAGCTAGCCAATAATGCTCTAGAAATCTTTTTCAATTTTTCTTGTGTAGCCAATATCTTTTGCATCTTTCTGTCTATTAGCACTGTACTGGGGAACATTCCTATGATGCATTTCCAGCTTTGAATGCCTTGTTGGCGGCTGCGGATCACTGTGGAGTTTCAGCCCTTCACTTCCCATTCATCAGCGGAGGCAGAGTTGCATCTGCAAAGGAAGGTAATGTCTGACCCTGATGTCCTATGTCTGTGAGAGTGTGACCCGGCCAGCCGGCCATCTATCACATGTGCAATGTGTCAGTGAGTGATGACATCATTAGGATCCCAAAGCCTGCTGATCTGTGTCAGTGTTGGTGGTGGTGTGTTGTGTCAGAACTGTCACTGTGTGGGATCGCTCAGTTCAGGTGTTCTCTGTGTGTGGGGACTGGGCTGCCTGCTGTCACAGCCTTTTCTCTCCACCCATTGCGGGGAATTCCAGCCTGGGATCTGTCAGAGTGTGGATCCATCATCCTCCACTCACTGCAACTGTCACCCTGCCACTGCCAGCCACAGATACAGTCCATCCGTGACACTGTTTTTGTCTTTAATATTGGTGCTGGTGGCATCTTATGGCACTTATTTTTTCAAATTAAAAGAAATTTAGCAGTTTCATGTTTTGTTGATTTAATATTTTCTACTATTTTTAAAATTATTTATTTATTTTTTTGAGGGGGGGTGCTGGTGTTGCCTAGGGCGCAAAATAGTCTAGCACCGGCCCTGGTCACAGGACAAATGGAGAGGCTGAACCTCCTCAAAGGGGACAGAGACAGCAATAGAAACCTGAGCTGTGTCCAAAATGAAAAAAAAGCTTTAGTTTAAGACCCCTTTCACACGGGGAGGGGGATCCGATCACAGAGAATCTGCTGATCGGAGCACAGGGGATGGATTCATGTCCAGTTCATGCAGAGTGGGAACGGAGAGATCCCGCTCTGCTCTATGGGCAGCTGAGAGTAAGCGGACTCCACTTTCCATTTACACCCGACTACCCTCCGATCCAAAACATCTAAACGGAAGAGGAAAATCCCCTTCCATATTTCTTTTTTTTTAGTGGAGCAGATCAGACCCGGAGGTAAGTGGGTGTAACCGAAGTCCATAGGGGTGAATAGGCCATCGGATCAGATCAGCCTGAAAAACTGACATGAGGACCTGATCGGACCTACCTTGTGAAAGGCGCCTAATAAGACCAAAGTTCTTTAGTATTTCATTCAATTTTACCATGATCTATCAATAGTGCTTTCCATCTGAAAAAAGAACTCCTATGATTACACACCAGGGGCGGACTGACCATTTGGAAACTCGGGCACTGCCCCAGGGCCTGGGGTCAGTAGGGGGCCCCATGAGATGCCCCTGGTACCTTTTTCATAGGCTTTTTTTAGTTTGGGCAAGGACACAGGGGCCCCATGATCCCCTATTGCCCGGGGGCCCCCTGAGTTGTCAGTACGCCCCTGTTACACACAGAGAATTAGGAACATACCCGATGTGGTGAGCAATGCACGCAGCTTCTCCACATTGCCTCTACTGGCCTCATAATGGATATCTGTCCATTTATAGTTGTAACTTGGTGCCACCTGGTAGTGCCGCACTTGGGTCTTGGTGCAAGGGCTTCGGGACAGGGAGCTGATATAAAACCCCATCTGTCTCATCAGGAATTGGCTTCATACGGTAATATCTGTAAATGAGAAAAACACATACACATATGTTGAGAGGTACTTGTATTTTCACCAGTCTTTATAACAGATTGAAACCCAATCACTAAAGCATAATAATAGTAATAATAATTATAAGTAATAATAATAATTTATTAAAAATAGAAATAAAATAAATAATTAGTATTATCACCGATCACTGTATTAACGTCACTAGTGATGTCAGTGGCAGTTAGCTCTCCCCCCAGTATCAGTTAGTGTAAGATTGCTCTCCGCACTATCACAGTCCCACTATAAGTCGCTGATCACTACCATTAATAATATATATATATATATAAAAAAAAAAAAAACCTCTAGTTTCCTGTATATACCATAGTTTGTAGACGCTATAACTTTCATGCAAACCAATCAATACACACTTATTGGGACTTTTTTCACTAAAGATATGTAGCAGAATACATTTTGGACTAAATTTATAAAGAAATTAGATTTTTTTTTTAATTATGTTATGTTTTATAGCAAGAACTAAAAAATATTGTTTTTTCAAACTTTTCTTTTTTCACTTAAATATTAAAAAAATAAAAAAACCCAGCAGTGATCATATACCACCAAAAGAAAGCTCTATTTGTGTGAAAAAAAAACGACATCAATTTTGTTAGCGTACAGTGTTGCATGACCACACAATTACCAGTTAAAGTAGCATAGTGCTGAATATCAAAAAAATGGCCTGGTCATGCGGGTCAAAGGGGTAAAACCTTCTGGAGCTCAAGTGGTTAAAGCATATTTTGGATTTTAGTGACTATATATCAGCATTAAAGTTACAACATGTGTCTTTGTATGCTCGACCATCATTCTTTTAGATTGCTAGAACTACAGTATTTTATTCATGTATACAGTGCTAACGTTTATTTATTAGAAGTATCTATATAGCATCAACAATCTACACAGCACTTTACATATACATCAGATGCAATCAAAGATGCATCATGTTACAATCAAAGGTCCCTATCTCACATACATACATAGACCAATTCAGATAGGACCTAACAACACGTCTTCAGAAAGTGGGAGGAAACCAGAGGACCTACAGAAAACACAGGGAGAACATGCAGATAGTGTCTTGTTCAGGAATCCATCTGAGTTACCTGGTCCAGCTACAGCGGACGTGATGACGTCAGCCCACTATGCTCTGCCCTGAGCAGACTACAAAGTGTGTGGCCAGCTTTAACTCACACCAGCCAGATATCGTCTTTCACTGATCTGACCGCAGTGAACTAGTTTCTGGTTCACCACTACACATTCATTGCCTTTCAACACCATCTTTGCTCTGTGCTAATTAATACACTCACTCCCCCTACTCTGTATATAAATACACCAGCCCTCACAAGCCTCCTGAAATGATGGCAGAAGAACACCAGAACAACATGAGCTGCAGTCACTGTTATAAACACAAATAAACAGACAACCTTTAGAGCCCATTCACACTTGTGTGACTTGTCATGCGACTTTGGGGTCTAAAGTGCATTACAAGTCACACCGCAGTCCAGGGGCGGACTGACAACTCATAGGGCCCCCCGGGCAATAGGGGAATATGGGGCCCCTGTGTCCTTGCCCAAACTCAAAAAAGCCTATGAAAAAGGTACCAGGGGCATCTCATGGGGCCCCCTACTGATCCCGGGCCCTCGGGCAGTGCCCGAGTTTCCAAATGGTCAGTCTGCCCCTGCCGCAGTCACAGCCACTTGAAAGTAGTTCCTGAACTACTTTGGTCCGACGTTTATGTGACTTGAGGGTCATAGACTTCAACGTAAACCCTCTAAAGATGCATGTGAATGACATACGTGCGACTTGTGTGCGACTTTGCACAGCACAATCATCCTTGGTCAAAGCCAAAGTCGCATCAAGTCGCAATGAAAATCACACAATTTTTAAAGTCGCACATGTGTGAATGAAGCCTTACTACACTCTCCAGAAGTCACAGAAATCCCACAGGCACTTCCTGTCTTTGGGTGACAACACTATCCCTGTCTCCGAACTGTTCTCCTGTGTTGTCACCATGTCAGCTGAGCTTCCGATAGAAACTACAAGTAGCTTTTTGAACAAACATTATGCAGGCACAGTCCACTGTTGAAACTCAACCTAAGAAATGCTGTGCAGCCATCACAAGAGTACATGTACCATGGAAGTGGCTGCATAGAGGAAAAAACAGTATTTTATTAAAAAGAAAAGTGAATGCTTTGTGATACATTGTGCTTTAGCCAACGAAATGTTGTTCAGTTGGGCTAGGTGCAAGCTTGTGTCTGCACTTTTTGATGAGTTTTTTTTCATGTGCTCTCATTAAAGTCTATGGCATCAAAAATGTGCATTGCTGCAACAAAGAAAAAAAAACACCTGCACTTTTTTCTAGGGATGCACCGAACGTTCGGTGGCCAAAACGTTTTGGACGAAAACAGGGGCGGACTGACCATTTGGAAACTCGGGCACTGCCTGAGGGCCCGGGGTCAGTAGGGGGCCCCATGAGATGCCCCTTGTACCTTTTTCATAGGCTTTTTTGAGTTTGGGCAAGGACACAGGGGCCCCATGATCCCCTATTGCCCGGGGGCCCCATGAGTTGTCAGTCCGCCCCTGGACGAAAACACCCCTATCAGCCTTTGGCCGATATGAAAATAAGCACCGATACAGGTACAATAACCCCGCCCGGTGCTGCCATCACCCACCGCCACTCGGTGGTTCTCAGCCTTAGCTGAGAAACCAAGGAACAATGGCGGCGCTGGGCATAGAGATAAGTGAAAGAAAGATGGCCTCCACTCATCTCTATGCTCTTGGAGGACCGCAGCGACATCACTTGCGTTTCCGTGCGTTTCCTTGCGTTTGTAAACAAGGCCATTTTTTTTAAAGCACTAGATCAATGCTTTTTTTGATCCAATGCTTTACATTGCAGAGGGGAGATGTGGGGTCTTATTGACTCCATATCTCTCCATAAAGAGGACCTGTCACTATTTATTTCTATCACAGGGGATGCATGCATTCCTTCTGATAGGAATACAAGATATATATATATATATTTTTTTAAAGGGACAGCGTAATAAATACATAAATAAAATAAAATAAATAAAAAGTTTAAAGTGCCCCCATCCCCCCGTGCTCGTGCGTAGTGGTAAACGCATACTTAGGCCACGCCCACATATGTAAACAATATTCAAGCCACACATGTGAGGTATCGCCATGAACGTCAGAGCAAGAGCAATAATTCTAGCACTAGACGTCCTCTGTAACTTTACACTGGTATCCTGTAGACATTTTTTAAGCATCACCCATGGAGATTTGTAAGTACCGTAGTTTCACGCCATTCCACGAGTGTGCGCAATTTTAAAGCATGACATGTTGGGTATCTATTTACTCGGCATAACATCATTTCATATTTTACAAAAAAATTGGGGTATATATTGTGCTATGTTTTTTTTTTTAATCATTAAAGTGTATTTTTTCCCAAACAAATTGCGTTTGAAAAATATATTTTTTAAAAACTGTCAATTTATGTTTCGTTTTTTGGCCAAGTGAATCCTGAAGTTTCGGTTTTGACACCAACATTTTTTTTTCGGTTTTTTCGGTGCACCGCTGCTTTTTTCCAAGCTGCACTTCAAAGAAACACCCAGGTGTGAATGGGCCCATAAAAATAATAATAATAATAATCCTTTTGCCGTGCAAAGTCTCTGTTGGCCATTGAATGTAAAATCACATAGGTGCTACTCAACCTTTTTCAGACCAGGGCACGCTAAAATCTTCCAAAGTCTTCCATACCCACCAGTATAGATTTAAGTTCATACTAACACAATAGTATGGGGAAGCAAAACATGGATGGGGCTGGTGTCACTGTACAAGGGGATGGGGGTTGTGGATGGGGTTAGGGGACCCTGCAGCTGCCTTGGTGGCCCTGTAGAGGATAAGGTTGCTGCAGAGGGGGGGTGGGGAGCATAGTGGGATGTTGGGGGCACTGTGGAACATTGTTGGAGGGTGGGTGCATTATGGAGGGCTCGAAGCTTTGCAGAAGGTTGGGTGGCATTGTGGAAGGTTGTGGGACACACTGTAGAAGCTGGGGGCTCTCAGTGAGCCTGGGGGCAGTGTTGGCCACTATGGGAGGTTGGGGGTACTGTGAGAGGTTGGGGGGCACCCTGGGACACTGCTGTAGGTTGGGGGCACTAGGGAAGGCTGGAGGCTCTATAGCAGGCTGAAGGGTACAGTGGGAGGCTGGGTGGCATTGTGACACCATAGACACTGTAGAGGCTGGGGCTCTCAGGAAATCTGTGGACAGCTATGGGAGTTTGGGGGCACTTTGGGAGCTGGGAAGCACTGTGGGAGGTTAAGGGATCTGCAGGCCTTGTCCACTGGCTGAGAATCATTGTCCTAGACTTAAAGTGGTTCCAAAAGCTTAGATTTACCATATCTATGTAATAGGAGAACCTAACTATTCTATCCAATAAATTTGTATCCAATCAGGTAGGCCGTTGCACTACATGGCTGTAGGTAAATCTAAAGCAGATGGTACAATCAGACTGTAATGTTTGTGTTGATCTTAAAGAAGATTGTACAATCAGATTGTAGAGTGTATGCTCAGTCTTATTACATTCTCAGCTGCCACAACAATGACTACACTAATTTGACCTGATAAGTCCTATAGGTCCACCAGGACTGCATCCATCAGCCTACTCAGCCCATCAACATATAATAATATACCAATATTGTTACATAATATACAGTATAGTGTCACATTATATATGTAATTATATATATATTGTTAAAAAAAATTTCTCTCTCTATAAAGTTACATTATGTATACTGTTATATATACACTATATTGCCAAAAGTATTGGGCCAGCCCTCCAAATCATTGGATTCAGGTGTTCCAATCACCTCCATGGCCACAGGTGTATAAAATCATCACCTAGGCACAGTCAACTGTTAGTGGGTATTATAACAAAGTGGAAGTAACTGAGAACAAC